GTGTATTAGGGCATTTCAATTTCATGTTGTTCGCATAGACATCTAGGATGAGAAGGGATATCTTATTGAAATCCAAACTGCAATTTTACCTTATTAGCTTGATGCATTTCAACAATATGAAAACTGATAATTGAAGTGGTCGTGCTCAAAATATGGCTATCTGCAAGGACGCATTCTGGGTAGTTCGGGTAGGGCCTCCAAATAAACTGTTACAGGAAATATAATAGTTAGAGTTTAAATACAGATGTTAGCATATATTTAGAGAATGTAGCGGTAACAAACTTACATCCTTAGCCCTCAATCTATCTAGTGCAAATCTAAATCCTCGGACGTAGTGTCGAGGATTATTTTGGTAAGCCATGCCTCTTCGAACAAATCTTTCAATTTTAAAATAAAGAAATGTAATAAGGGGATGTAAAAAAAAGAAAAGAAAAGAAAATGTAAATAATTTTTACCTTGTTGCGTAAGGATGGTATGAATCAACGGAACTCTCTGGAGCAATTAGTGGTATATGCCAATATGTCCAAACACTTAGTAAGATAACGCACCCTCCAATAATTTTTACCCCTACCCTACATGCTTTACACATATGCCTATATAATATAGCTAAACAAGCAGAACCCCAACTATATCTATTGCATTTATCTAAATCTCCTACTAGGGGTATCCAAGAAGAATGTAAATAGTTATGGCTCTTGTCTGGCATCAATACTTTAGCTATGAGTAGTAATATATAAATTTTTGAATGGAGAAGGTTCTCCTCATTGGATGGTGATGCATTTTGTCGTAGTTGTGCTAATATAGTTTGTAGCCAAACAATTTTAACACAGGCTTTATGTTTATCAGATGTCGATACCTAAATTTTCCATATATACATCACTGCCTACTTGAGTAGGACCATTCACAACCTTACCATTCACACGGAAACCTAATAACATACTTACATCCTCCAACGTGATGGTACATTCACCTGTTGGAAGATGGAAGTATGCGTTTATGGTCTCCACCTCTTCACCATAGCAACATTGATAGTGGTTATTTCTGCAACTTTTGTGAAACCTGCTCGTTCCAAATACAGTTTGATTGCGTCACTTAATGCATCGATAACATGAGAATGTAGTCTAAACCTCTCTTCGTCGGACTGTTTCAAATATTGAAAAATAAATACAACATAATGATGTAATATTAAACACAAGTATGAAGAAAAAAAACTTACATAGGTGACAACATTGGTCGGTGTTCCCCGATGGTTTTCTCCCATCCACAACATTGTCATTTAGAATATTTTATAACTGATGAAACAATGAAAGTGTTGAAGTATTAATTTAGTTTGTTTTTTTTGCAATGCATATGAATAAAATTTGTTTCTATTTATAAGAAAAAGAGATGAATAAAATTTGTGAGCCATGCAACTATCCGTTGGAAAAATAGATGAGTCAAAATTATTGACTCTGCCTGACTCCCCCTACATGATTCCTCTGCATCCCTAATACTACACACTGCACTATAATACTACACACTGCACCCTATGCTAATCAAATGACATGTAGTCACACGTGCTTCAAGGGTGCGCCACTTGGTTGGCGGACCCTATAAGTTAGCTTCACGGGCTCGTCCTTTGGATGGACGACCCTACACATTTGTTTCAAGGGCTCATCCTTTGGATGGACAACCCTACACGTGTTCAGCATGCACTCATCATTTGGTTGGACGAACCAATAGAGTTCCTTATCACTATATATTTTGCATGCATGTCTTGTAGACTCCCATCCAACTCACACACTATCTGTATCAAAGTTATGGCAGATAGAAATACAATGGTCACCATGCACTATAATGGTTCCATGTTCACTGATTAAAATACCGGTTTCTCATTCAATGAAACAAATACGGTGATGTTCAAACTTCATCATAGTTCTGATATTCTTCATCTAAAAGAAAGAATCGGAAAAAAAAGTGCAACGCTCAGTTCATGATATTATTTACCGTCAACCATTACCTAATGGGGTAGATGGTGGTGTCTTCTACGTAATGATGCAGATAGATATAGACAACGCAGTCAAATCAATGTTCCAATATCATTACACAATGCCTCATTTGAAGATGATTGAGTTATATGTTCGCCTTGATGACGAAGCATATCCAACGCAGTCATCATATTCGCATCAATACGGAGTGAGCCAAACAACTAATGAAGAAATAATACAAAATAATGAACCTTTCATACGGAATGGGGAGCTTGGTGAATACAGTGATGATGAACTCCATGATGTTCGCTTTGAAGATCTATTCGGTGATGGCGATGAAGAGGATGTGTTTCTCGTGCATTCACAGGTAATAAATGCTCAATCCATTAATCTGTACAATCCACTAGTGCATATGTCAAACATATGTCTGGAGTCTTCTCAACCCATCTATATTTTTGAAAACGACAAACCAAACCATATTGGTGACAACTTGGAAGTGGGTTTGGTGTTTGAAAATAAGGAAGCGTGTGTTCTTTTTTTTGCAACATTGGCATATAAGTAACAATCTTAATATGCAGTATATAAATCTAATTCAATAAGGTATATAATAAAATGTAAGAACTCACAATGCATCTTCACATGTAGAGCTGCATTAGATAAAAATAGCACATTATGGGAGATCGCTACTATAAGCAGATCACACACTTGCACAACAACTTCTATGTCACAGGATCATAGAAAATTAGATTTTGAAATTATTAGCCACAATATCAGGGAACTTGTTAACAACAACGCTTCACTAAAATCAAAGTGATACAAGCCCATATTTCAGAAAAATACGGTTATAGAATCTCATATCGGAAATCTTGGATTGCAAAGATTAAAGTCGTAGAATCACTTTATGGGAATTGGGAGACGTCTTACAATGACTTACCACAATAGTGGTTGGTGATGAAGACATATTTTCCTGGAACTGTTATACAGTTGGAAACATTGCCAATTATTACAGACGACGGATCCCAATTGGGCGACAAACGAAAATTTCACCGACTTTTTTGGGCATTTAAACCGTGTATCTGTGATTTTACTTACTGTAAACCTATTGTGCAAATTGACGGAACCTGGTTGTACAGCAAGTACAAAGGGACTTTGTTGATGGCTGTGGCACAAGATGGAAATGGTAACATTTTTTCGATAGCATTCACATTGGTTGAAGGTGAGACAAAGGATGGTTGAAGTTTCTTTCTCAGGAATTTGAGAATGAATACGACCCCCAGGTCAATCTTTGTCTAATATCCGACCGACATCCATCAATCAAGAGTGCTTACGATGATCTTGAAAATGGGTGGCAGTATCCTCCATCTTCACATATTTACTGTATCAGACACATTGCACAAAAATTCATGCGTGAGTTCATAGACAAAGAACTACGAAAAACAGTTGTCAACATGGGTATGCCTACATCTTCACGAGTTGATGTTTCAATAAATATTTATTGACTAATTGATTTTTATATGTTTTACTGAACATTTTGTTTAAACATTTTCATCTACATGATATGCACTAACGGAGGCAACATTTAACTACTATTGGGGCGAAATACGAAGAACAAATAGAGCAGATTTGGAGTGGATAGAGAGTATTCTCATAGAGAAGTGGTCGAGAGCGTTCGACGGAGGACAGTGGTGGGGACACATGACAACAAATTTGGCCGAAGCTATGAACTCGGTACTTAAGGCTACCCGAAACCTTCCTATTACAGCATTGGTCAAGTCAACGTTCTATCGTCTGGGATCGCTGTTTAGAAAACGAGGACGCAATTGTACAAAATTGTTGACATTCGGTCAAACTTTCACGAAAAATTGTAATAAGGGAATGACCGACGAAGCGAGTAAATCTAGCAACCATAATGTCATTCAATTTAATCGTGAGAGATTCTGTTTTATGGTTGTCGAAAGCATTAATCAACACGATGACCGACCATTAGGTATTTTTAGCGTTGATCTCAGGAGAGGGTGGCGCAATTGTGGGAGGTTTCAAGCATTTCATTTACCTTGCTCCCATGTAATCGCAGCATGTGCCAGTATACGACAGGACCACGACATGCACATACCAGATGTTTTCAAGGTTCTGAGTGTATTTAAAGTCTACAGCGAAAGCTTCCTTGGAATTCCACACCATCAAAATTGGTCAACATATAAAAGATTCACTCTTTGCCATGACGAGACAATGCGAAGGAATAAGAAAGGACGTTCAAATAGTACAAGAATTAGAACCAAAATTGAAAATCTTGAGAAAGAAAAGAGAAGATGTGGAATATGTCGAGAAATTGGCCGTATGCATAAAAAATGTCCGAATGTAGCAGACCCGGCAAATCGACTCGTCTAAAATTACTTTATTTGTTTTTTAAATTATTTTTAAAAATATTTTTTAAATTGTAATGTTTATTATATAATTTATTAATATTTTAAATCATGAAATAAGTTTTTAATACTTAAAAAATAATTAAATATATAAAATTATAATAAATATTTATATTTATATTTAAAATAATTATTTAAAAAAAGTTTTTAAAAGGTCAATCAATGGTTGGCCGAGCCCATCATCATGTTGTAATATTTATAGGATCGTCCAATAAAAAGACTTTTTAAAAATAGTGGCACATTGGTTAATTTTATTTTAACTTGTGACAATTTAGTATATTTGATTTCAATAAGTGGATATTGGTAAAAAAAGTCGACTTATGTTATAGAAAGACAAATCATTGCAAGCTAGTAGATTTTTGTGATGTAAATTATGCCGAACCATAAGTCAAATGATTATCTTAATTTTGTTAGAGATTACTACAATAATCGATCCCATCAATTGAATTTAATTTAGCATACTTTATTAGTACTTGCGTAAAAGTACCGTACTTAACCGACTAGGAACACCAACACGTGTCTCATTTCACGAGCTACTCTATATTCTTTTGCCATCTATCTATTCCTCCAATCCATCTAGTATCTTCAATTCCTTTTGAACTAAAAGAAAATGGGAAGAATCTTTGTGGTGGAGTTGGAGGGCAGGTGCTACAGATGCAAGTTCTGCAGAACTCATTTGGCCCTTGCAGATGATCTCATCTCTCGGGTAGGTACCCTTTAATCTCCTTTTTATAAAAGTACTTTTTTTATAAGTGATTATTGTGTATCATCTTAATGATGTTTGATTATCCTTCTTTCAGACTTTTCATTGCCGGAGAGGAAAAGCATACCTATTCACTAATGCGTGAGTATTATTTCAGTTCTTATTGTTGGATAATCCATTTGTCACTAAAATTAAACTTCAAGATAGTGTTGTTTGGAAACATAACAGGCTTTTTGTGGCTCATAAGAATTGCATTCATCACTATGTAGCATTGACTCTTCTGAAAAGGCAGGTGTGTCGGTGTCTATGTCAATGTCAGACACCGACACTTATAATTACGCTTAATTTATTTATTTTTTTCAAATTATTACTAGGGTTGATGTATCGGTATTGGTATCAGTGTCGTGTATCCGTATCCCTGTCCATGCTTCATAGATTGAGCATGATTTGTATTACAAATAGTCCAGAAAATATGGTAGTCATGTTCATATTGTTAAGGAATTGGATTCATGAGTTTAGAATGAACACAGTGCAAACTACCCTAATCTTTCAATGTTATTGACACTCTGTTTGACGATATACTTCGAATTCAACCGAATAACATATGAGCTGGTTTGAACTTGCAGCTGTTGAAAAAGAATAGTAGCAGCAGACATGGTGCAGTGTTACACTGGCTGTGCTACAGCTACATCTAATCATGGCCTCAAATGTTGCATCTATGTAAATTTTTTATGCAAAATTGTTTAACTCTTAGGTTTATGACCTCAGTAAATAAGGCTGTGATGAACCTAGGAATATGAAGCCAATAAATTTTATATGTCCCCTATCTATACGAAATAGGTATGCTTTTATTTTGTTGTTACTAATGCACATTGATTCAAACCTTTGGCGAAAAGAACATGTATAGAAACCAAAGCTGGTTTGAGATGACTTCATTTTGTGTATTAGAACTTGTAACACGATTTCTATGTATAACAACATGTCTCATTTGCACATGAAATCAACAAAAATTAGGGAACACTATTGTTGTCATTATTAGTTGATAGTATCACTAGACCTGAATATTCTATACTCTCTATGGCGTGCTTATGTTTTGAGTCTGTGAATCAGCGTGAACACGACAACTGGACCACCAGAAGAAAGAATGATGCTTTCAGGATTGCATACTGTGGCAGATATCTTTTGCTGTTGCTGCGGTCAAATACTTGGCTGGAAATATGTAATCCTCCTTTTTTTACTTCATCTAGGTTTCATGTAGCAGATGAAATCTATTACTACCTCCGTTCTTAGATATAAGATCTTATTGACTACATCACAGAAATTAAGAAAACCGGCCATCAGAAGAAAGAATTTGTTTATGTTTTCATCATAGTATTTACTATAGGTTGCAAAAAAGATGCAACACAATTAGGAGTATGTTCGTAAAAAAATAGTTAATTCAGTTGAAACTTTGAAAGCCGTCTTACAATTTAGGGACGAGAAAAAAATTATTAGAGGGTCTTATATCTAGAGACTGAGGTAGTAGATGAAATCTCTTAGTTCGCAACTTTTGATCCTTTTTTTAATTTACCATTTCTTTTCAGGAATCTGCACATGAGAAGAGTCAGAAGTATAAGGAAGGGAAGTTTGTTCTTGAAAGGTATTTACTTTTCATATTATGCACATCATGTGCACGGTACATTGAAATTAATAGCTTATACTTATTGTGCATATCCTGCATATGTTAATACAACAGAGGAAGCATTGTTGATGACATTGATTTTTCAACGGAGTTTTATATTGATAGCCGCGCTAGCATGAGTGACAGTGAAGATGCTTAGCATCTTGAAACCTTATGGAGGACTTTTGCTGAATCATGAGAAAGGATACTGCACTGCTTCTGTATATGCACAACAATAATAACGGCGCCCCGAGAAAATGTTTAGAATCAAATAAGCTTTCATTTAGTTTTACTTTTTTTGTTTAGGTAGCAAAAGAGGAGTCTCATGGTGTGTAACCTATGTAGAAGGAAAGTGTTGTTTTAGATTTTCTGCAAAATCTTTAGAAAGAACGCGTTTAGAAAATTTCCTCCAATAAATACCAAAATAAACTATTCACCTGACCTTTCTTTCCAAAATATAGACCAATCTGACTCATTCCGACTATACTAGCCCTACAAAATAGGACTGAATCGACCGGTCGAACTCCTTACATCAGGAATCATTGGGGTCACTAATCTGGTCTGATTGTTGGACCGTGCAAGTTATTGAACCGGCGATAACCGGTAAAAACCAGTCAAAACAGGTAAAAACGGGAGAATAGGCAATTTTGAAAATCAAGTGGATTAAATGTTTGTTTTTTTTCCTCAGGCAAAACAACACAGTTTTTTTTTATAATTTTGTTTATTAAAATTCAAATTCAAATATAAATAGAATTTGTTCCAATTTTTTTTTGGAATAATTGACTGTTTTTAATTAAATTTATTAAAGACAACTCGTTATTTTGTTATTCAAGTTAGGTTATAATTAGACTTTGAATTTATATTTTGTTGTTTATATTAAAGTGAACAGTTAGAATATAGCAACTAAGCTGAGTCAGCATGTAATTAGCTATGTAACAAAATTTGTTGAGAACACATTTTAAATTGACCTATATAAATTAAGTTTCCCCCTCTTTTGTAATCAATTTTATTAATAACAAATCCAGTTAAAAATTCAATAAATACTCTCTCATCAAACTCTAATATGGGATCATGAGTATGCGCTCGATTCTCTCCCATAGTGTCGGAAGAAACTTCATCCAACATTGAATGCACAGTGCTTCAGTCTTGAACAGTCAACACGAAAAATATTTTTAAAACCTTCAGTCAACATGTTATGTTGAAACATGACGAAAATGATTTTTGCTCTTGGAAGCAACAAATTAAGGGAATTGTCTGAGCTCATAAGTTTCATAAATTGCTTGTGAATCTTTCGATTCTGCCACGATTTTCTCTGAAGTGAATCACAACGATACAAAGAATTCACAGTTTATGACATGGGAGCAACAAGATTCATTGTTATTCACATGGCTTTTCACCACTATCTCCTATGCAGTTCTTCTCTGTGTTGTATGATGTGTTCATTCGCATTTGGTATGGGATGAAATTTTTAAATATATTTATTTTTATACCAATGTGAAATCACGCCTGTTGCGATCGAAATTGAAATCCATCACCAAAGGTGATAAAACCATTGTTGAGCTTCTTGCGTGAATCTAGAAAACCGATGACATTCTTGAATCCATTGAGGATCCTATCACAATCTGTGTCCTATCATTGAAATAGAGTCTGTGCTTTTGTCTCATGAGTCAAACCTGGATCGTGCGAAGAAATTGAAACTCACTAAACCTCTATCCATTAATGTTGTTCAAGCCTCCAACTTTAACTCTCCCTGAAACATCTCAACCTAACATTCTTGAAAACTCTATGATATCGTTAAACTCTAGATCTGGATCTCAGTTCAATGGTAAATGCTCCATCGTGGCAGAAAAGGCAGGTTTGGTGGTCGTAGTAGAGTTCAGTGTCAAATTTGTTATAAAACAGGGCATGAAGCAAGTGTATGTTATCACAGACGCTCATCACCAATGCCACTAACAATGTCAAATCAGTGGTCTTGCTCACCTCAGACTCAGTGGCATAATGTTGACTCAGCTCATGTGCTATATTCCAATTGAATTAAGAGTACCCCCCCCCCCCATTACACTGTATCAGGGAAATTTGTGAGTGTAAGCTATTGATTAACTTAACTCAAAAAATGCAAGATTTGCCACCGCACTTTTATTTTATCCAAAAGGAAAGGAAAAGGAGCGAATAAAACATAAACAAGTTCTAAACAAGAACAAACAGAGAATGGGTACGAGGGTTGGTTGCGCTAAAGGAATGTGTTAGCACCCAAGACGTCTATAGTACTCTATAGGAACCCTTTGAAATGTCTACGTTTTTTTATTTGAAAAGGTTTGGTTGAGAGGGGATTGAGAGGTGAGAAGAGAATTATTTCTTAAGATTTTTGTGTTTGGAAAGACTTATCGTCTCATGTCTATGTACCCACAAAGTGAAATATAGGATCAAAACCCCGTAGTTCGTGGTACAAATAATAAAAATGGTTTGTTGTGATTGATTTTAAATGTAAAGACAAGTTTTCATTTCCAAGCGAATAATTTCACTTAAAGAGATGACTCATGTCTAAACTTATGAAAAAAGTTTTTAAAAAAAAAAGTGCACAAAGGCACAAAAAAGTTCGGATGAGTTTTTGTATTTTTTATGTTCTTTTTGAAAAAAGATCAAAGTATGATTAACATTAATTGTCATTTATTTAAAGAAAACAAAGTTTGAAAAATCACTTGACCAAAGTCAAGGTTTTATTATGAAAGCGGTTTGATTTTGAAAACAAGAAGGTTTTGAAAAAGGGAGGAGATTTTGAAAATTAAAGAAGGGGTGGAAAAGAAGGGACTATTCTATTGCATAAAAATAAAATATAAGGATAATAACGGTCTAACCACATAAGTAAGCTTCATAATATAAGCATCCTTTCTTTTAGGTTAGGCCTTGATCAAGATAGGTCTTCAAAAGAGAACTTCAAGTACCCAAACATCCAAAGTTTGACATCACAAGCTTTCAAGCATAGGTTAAGATCTTAGTTCTAAGTCTAAAATTTTATTTCCAATGCAAAGGATAGTAACCATAGCCCACCATTAAGAGAACAAGTTTTTTAGTGGTTTAAACATTTATTAATGTTTTTGGTCCAAATGGACAAAAGAAAAAGAACATAAACAAATGGTCCAAGTGGACAAAGAAAAACAGCGGAAGCATAAACAATATATGATATGATATGATAACATAAAGCATAAAAATAAAGAGAGATAGGGAGCAAGAAGAAAGTATAAACATAGCACAATTAATATAGCAATGTAAAGCAATTTTGATCCAAAAAGAGAACAAGTTTTATTGCTTTTTGGAAATGCTCGACTAAACATCTATGAGAATGAAAACATGGTCTCATACATTATCATGGGGGGGGGGGGGGGCTCCAACTAGGATAAAATAAACGAGTATGTCAACTAACCCCCACGGGTAACAAGAGAAAGTCAATCTATTTCAAACTACGCCACGGACGAGTAGGAGACTGATAATTCGCTTACAAAATGCAACAGTTTTTCAATTTCAGGACAATTTAGCGCTATGTTAAGAAATTATAATCGAACTTATATAGAAGCCACGACTATATGAGGTCAGTCAATAAAAATGTTAGTGTTAATGTATGCTAGAGAAGTGATATGTAGATCACTCTCCGAAAGCAATACTGCAGGAAAAGAAAAGAGGTAACGATCTCATCTTCATCAAGAACTTAAAATAAGTTCCAATGATATCGAAGATTTTCATCGATTAAAATAAAATGAGAAATAGATGAAGAAATGTCAAATTAGACCACACAAAGATGTAATCCAAGGCAAATAACAAAAGGAAAGGGAAGGAAAAGGAAATGGAAGCAAAGTAGTCTCAAAAACAAGCAAAAAACATATTTTAGACACTGGTTAACCGATTAACCACATTTAACTGCATTTGATTAATCGATTAACCCTAACAGAACAACAACAAAAATTGAAAAAAATGAAGCATTCATGATCCAATCATTTCTTAAAACACCTTATGATCATGAATAAGAATTAGCACAAAAATTCAAGTAAAACAACAGCAAATAACACCAATAAAACACAATTAGCAAGATCAAAAGATCTAGCAACAAGAATCAACAATATATCACATTGTGGAAGGTAAATCAAGCACAACAATGGTGGAATAAGGGTTTACCACTTCAAATTCGAAAATGCTTCAAATCAAGTTCAAGAATCACACTCCAAAGCCTTAACCTACAGAAATTAATGATGAAAAATTTATTGGAGGAAGGTTTTAGCTCAAAGATTAGTAAGTTCCAATGAAGAACTTACTAACTTTCAAGAGAAGAAAGAGCTTTATTGAATTTGGTAGTTGAAGGAAATTGAGAGAATGAGAAGAAAATTTGAGAAGGTGATTTTGGCTCTAAAAAGCTTGAAGAATGAATGAAATGAGGCATTTATTTATAGAATTTAGGCTTGGAAATTTTGGTGGTGTGGAATTTGGTTTGGAATCAAAATTAGACTTCGAATTTGAATTTGGAGGAAAAATCAAGATCAAGTGGTAATTAGTGAAGGTGTATGATGGGAATTAATTATGATGAGGTAGGGGAAATAAAATGAGGTAATCTAGAATATTCTCATGATGAAATTTTTGAAAATTGGTGCCAAAATGCTGCAGAATTTGAATTTGGCTTATTTTCACACAAACGCACTGGTTAATCGATTAACCATATAGTGTTAATCGATTAACACAGTGAAAATTGTGAAAATTTGCCTTTTCATATGTTGTCTTGTCTCTGGCTTGATTTTTCTGACTTGTCAAAGAAGGTATGGAAATAAACACATGAACCTTGGAGTCTCTTGAATAATAGTCAATCGAATCTTGAGAAACTCTTGATCAAATGATTTTGAATTATTTTCATATCAATTTTGAATTTTTTAGATGAATTTCATTCGAGCTGAGGAACTGTTGATTGATATTCTTGATTCCAAATCCTTCCTGAAAAAGTTAGTAAAGGAAAAACAAACATATTTTTGAATTTTAATTAAGGGTTAGTAAACATAAATATAAACAAACATCAAGCATACAAGAAAACAAGGGTGTTCAATGATCTCCCTCAAAGACAAACCTATAGAGGAAGACAAGAGAATCAAAGTAGTGATCTTGCATGTTGTGTGAAATGCAAAT